AAGCACGGCGTAGCTCTTTTTGAACATCCTGCTCGATGGCAGAGGGTTTTGTAGGTGTAGTGTATGAATTCGCTTGCGAGGGTTCGGCAGTTCGTGACGCTGTCGCGCGCTTGTTCATAGTAGCCGTCTCGCAGCACGCCAGCACATCCTTTAAGCATTTCTCCTCCCTCGGTCCCATTTGATTCGACTTCTTACAATTTCGTCTTCGCATTCGAGCCGATGCCGGGATCTGCACTCATCCATCGTTTTTCGGGGAAGCGTAAGACTCGAGTTCGCCAGAATTCGGGGTTGAAAACGCTTTCTGACGGGCCCGTCCTGCACTCAGGGTCCAGTTTTCGTGCAATGTTTGCAGCGGGAGCTCGCGTCAAATTTCAGACTGGGTCTCGATTCCGATCATATTCGATTCGTACCGACTCGCCAGCATCGGTCAGTGCCAGCCAGGGCCAGGCGCGGCGGTCTGATTTCGGGTCGATTCGGGTCCAATCGCTGGCGAGCCGATCCGCTTTCGATCCGACTCGATTTCCTGCTTCGATCCAGCTCAGATCTGCCAGGGGGCCCACAGTAGGGAATCGAACTCTATACACCGACGGTTCTTCCGGCCCTGCATTGGAATTTGCACTGGAGAGCGGATCCTGGTTTGTACGGGACCCTGGTGTATACATTTTTCGTTGTTTTCCCGGGACATCGGGGAAAAAAGTATACACCACATCACCCCAGCGTCGTCCTCGACCCTCAAGAAGTCCTGGGATTGAAAAACAGCCCGCCACTGGTAATGTATATGCTCCAGTTTCCGACAAAGCGCAGCCACTGCTTCCGAAGGTCCCGGGAGGGCGAGTCCCCAGGTAGGCGTGCACGGACAGTCCCAGCCTCGGGCCCCTACCTTGTGCTGCTGCGCATCCCACGTTCCACTAGCAAGGAGCATCGGGGAGGAGGAGGAGGTTGAGGAGGAGGAGGAGGACCAGAGCAAGTCCAAGCTGCACCAACCCGTCCCAAGCTTCCCTCCGCTGAAAGTTCCTCTTCCACTGCGCGGAGCGTCCCCCTCTCGAAAGACGAGAGCCCCGGGTGCCCGCACCGCAGCTCGGGTGGGGGCTCCGTCTCGAACAACAGGCAGAATCGGCCTCCAGCCTGCGAGCTAATGCTCGGTGGCCGCATGTGAACCCTACCCCCGCCCCCCACGATTTCCATGGGGGGGTGGGGGTTCATTTCGTTTGGAAGGTCCCGAGCGGAGTGAACCACCCACCCACCCCTTAGAGATCTTGGGGAGTGGGGGTCGGGTTCACACGCGGCGCACCGAAGTGCGCCACGCGACGGGGTGTGGCCGGCATGCAGAGCACAGGCGCGCTGCGGTGGTCGGCGGCAGGGGGGGTGCAGGGGGAGGACGTGGACGAGGAACAGTGATAAGGCACAAGGGTACTGAGAGCAATGATTATCATAAGGATCATGCTGATACAAAGGGCAAAGAGAAGTAGTACTGGTAACAGTAGCACCAGGAACAATACGACTAATGCTGATACAACACATGCTATGAAGAATAAGAAGGACGAGGAGGGGGTGGTGGTGGGCATAAGGGAAACGACTCACGAGCAGAGTAATACGCACCGCGACCACGACGACGCTGCTGACGACGGAGACCAGGCGTGTTTGTGACCCGAACCGAAGCACGGCGTCGTAAAGGGACCTGCCCTACAAGTTGTTGTTCACACTACATCGTTGAGAACCATGAGGACGATGGGACAAAACGCGTCGGGCAGAGAAAGCGGGGGAATGGGACGGGAGGTGAAGCGCTTGAGATGACCTTCGGCGTGTCAGTGGGCTTCTTTGGGGGCTTCCTGAGCTGTCGGGGGGCGCTGTCGGGGAGCTGTCGGGGGGCGCTGTCGGGGCGCTGTCGGGGGCCTCTTGAGATCCTCCCGTGCCGTCTGCACATGGGGCCCCTCTTGGGCCGTCCTGGGGCGTTTTGGGGAACTCTACGGGCCCTGTCGGGCCGTCTTGGCGCCTCCTGGGGGCCGCCTCGGGCTTCTCCAGAAGCACTCTTGGGCCGCCTTGGGGCTCTCCTGGCGACTGGCTGCCTTAGGGCGCTCTCGGCCCGTCCCATGCCTTCGGAGGCTGTTTGGCGGACCTCTCCTGGCTGTCATGGGGCGTCCTGGGGCTGCCTTGGAGCCGTCCTGGCGCCTCATGGGGGGCCGTCTTGGGAAGCTCTTGGGCGCTTTTGGGGCTGTCTGGGGGTCCTCTTGGGCTCCTCTTGGGCTACTCGTGGGGCTTTCTGTGGTCATCTTGGGGTAATCTTGGGATTCCACCAGCCCATGCGATGCGAAAGCGCGAGACGACATCGGCTGTATTGAGTTTTGGTCGTGACGGATTTTCCTTCTCGGGTGCCTCCTTGAGTGGCTCCATGGCTACATGGCCGTTGGAAACACCTTGGCAAGTGGCTTGAGCCACCTTGGACTATCTTGCGCCATATTGGAGGCCATGTGAAGGCAGGCCATCTCGGGCCATCTTGAGGCTTTTCCAGCCTGTCCTGGGTGCATCCTGTTCGCGAACGGGGCACCCACGCCCAGTTTCCCGCCTTGAGCTGGTGGGAGTGCGTACGCGAGCCCTCCAATTCAATGCCAGCAAGCTAGGCAATACATCTTGAAACGATTACCCTCCGAACATCCTATCCGGCACATGACCCGAACAGGGGGGGGGCGTCATAGTAACGCTTTGCGTGTCCCCACCAGCCCATCCCAAAGCGATGTCCAGGCGAGTTGTCTCGACCACGGAAGTGTGTGCGCAACGATGGAGGAACGCGGTCAAGCCAAGGTTTTGGACCAGCCTGATCAGACCTCTGTCGAATGATGATGATGATGATGATGATGAGGAGAAAGAGGAGGTGGAGGAGAAGGATGAAGAGAGAGGAGGATGAGGAGGATGATACTGATGAGAAGGATGAGGCGGTACCAGACAACGGATGAGGATGACGAGGAGGAGGAGGAGGAGGTTGGGGAGGAGGAGGATGGGGATGAGGGGGATGAGGAGGAGAAACGAATAATCATGATGAGTGTGATGGTTATGGTGATGGCGATGGTGATGGTGATGGTGGTGCTGATGATGCTGATGAGGCTGGTTATGCTTATTACGCTGATGCTGATGATGATGGTGGTGATAGTGGTGGCGATGATGATGGTGATGATGATGGTGGTGGTGGTGATGATTAGGTTGGCGAATTTCCGACTGAATACGAGTTTGATGGTGAGGAGGATGAGTACGTTGATGACGTTGATGTAGATGATGATGCCCATGCTGATGCTGCTGCTGATGATGACGACCATGCTGAGGCTGATGATCTGCTGCGGCCGATGCTGACGATGCTGCTGCTGGTGATGATGATGATGATGATGATGATGCTGATGCTGCGGATGATGCTGGCGATGCTCATGATTATGATGACGATGATGACGATGATGAATATGATGATGCTGCTGCTGATGCTGCAGCTGGCGATTGTGATGAAGATGTCGTTGCTGCTGTTGACGATGGCGAATGGTGAGGATGGTGTTGCTGATGCTGATGCTGACGATGCCGCCGATGATGTTGCTGCTGATGATGCTGCTGATGCTGATGATGATGATGACGGTGCTGACGATGATGCTGCTGGTGATAATGATGATGCAACTGGTGATACTGCTTATACTGCTTCTGCTGATATGATGATGCGGTTGCTGATGATGATGACGACGATGCTGATGCTGATGTTGATGTTGATGATGCTGCTGATGATGATGATGTTGATGCTGATGATAATGATGCTGATGCTGATGATGATGATGATGATGATGATGCTGATGCTGTGAATGATGAATGCTGCTGCTGCTGCTAATGATGATGCTGATGCTGGTGATGGTGATGGTGCTGATGCTGAAACATACGGCGACCAATAAGATGAACAGTAAGACGAATCACACTACTAGTACTAACACAATAACCATTGTGATAACACTAAGACGAATACGAAGAAGACGAATATGACATATACCAAGACGACTAACATTCCGAATACATTCGGGCGACGCAATCTACACATATCCTCTGCTCCCTGGTCAGGCCCATCTTGAACCAAGGAGCAATCTATACGCCCTCCTGGCCAACCCAGGAGGGCGTGGCGTCTACACCGCTGCTGGGTTCAGGACGGGCCTGGCCATGGAGTGGAGGATATGTATAGATTTCGTCGCCATGAAAATCAATATTCGGAAGAATAAATACTACTACTGAGAATCGCCAGGTGAATGAGATTATTACCAATATCATAACCACATTAAGCATATCAGCAATGATACGATTCTTGCTGCTGCTACTACTACTACTACTACTCCTACTACTATTACTATTAGTATTACTACTACAACAACTACTACTACTACCCTTACTACTGCTTCTTCTATACTACTACTACTACTACTACTACTACTCCTGCTGCTGCTGTTGCTGCTGCTACTACTACTACTACTGCGACTACTACTACTAACGCTATTAACCACACATAATTCTTCTAATATTAATAGTGCCACTCGCTAATATCATTGATACGACGATCAGTCGTACTGGTAGAAATACTACTACTGAACTTATTAGTGCTACTACTGCTGATGTTACAACTGGTGCGTACTATTACTTCTAATAGCAGTTCTCAAGCAATAACAGAGTAACAATCATATTTTGAATGCCACTAGTAATAATGCGAATGATAATGATATAGCTAAACACACAAGAAGGCGAGGAGGAGGAGGAGGATCATCGGAGAGCAATGAACGCGACGGCAGCGGCGACGACGATTCAACCAGAAAAGCCTACGCGGATGCGGACCTTTCGCTCTCGGAACCTCTTGGAGGCCTGGAACCACCTTGTAGCCCCCTTGTGGGCCTCTGATGCTCTTTTGGGGCTCTCTTGCAGCCCTCTTGAACGTCCCTCGGGGTGCTCTTGGGGCGCTCTTGGGCCGCCTTGGGGCCGTCTTGGGGCCCTCGTGCGCCCCTCTTCGGGACCTCCGGGA